TATCGAAGAAAGCCGGAGTACATTAGATTGACACCTTGTCGGCTATGGTTGCACAAATTTCTAGTTAAAATGATAGGTTTGATAATTTAATGACTGTGAAATATGTGAAATCTTTTGATGTCATTTATGAAATTTGTGTAGGCACATTCAGGTATCAAGTGTCCAATTAGCAGTTCTTTTTCAGAGTTTATTCAAGAACAAGCCAATCAAGTAAACAACTTCAATAGCCAATAGTTTGATCTATTCTCAAATAAATATAATCTTGATTGTAGTCATCACCAAATTTTGTTTGGAAGAATAATCAACAAAATCAAATGAACCCACCTTTACCGTTCTAGAACCAATAAAGGCAAAAAGAATTCCATAGAAGATATGATAGCTCAACTGGCACAAACTACCAACACTTTTCCTTAGAACACCAACAATTTCATGCAAACAACTTAGACTTCTCTACAAAATTAGCAAGCATCCATATGCAAGCTAGAGGATCAGGTTGGTCAAACTGCCAATGCAATGGTTGAGAGACAAAAATGCAAGTTTTCGAGTTAAATTGAGATCAATCCCAATAATCAAGAGCAAGTAAAAAACTGTCACACTTCGGAGTGGTAAAGTTGCAGAGACAAAGGGTGAAGGAAAAGTGCAACCAGTTGAAAAGTTTGAAAATATCGTCACTGAACTGCAAGAGGAAGAACGAGTACATGAGAGCAAATTTTCCCCTCCTATTCCGTATCCTCAATAGTTACAAAAGGCTAAGAAAGATCAACAATTTTCTAACATTTTTTATTTGTTTAAAAAAGTTCACATTAACATTTTTTGGCTTGATGCAGTGGAACAAATTCCGAGCTATGAAAATTTTTGAAAGACATGCACCAAGAAGAGATTTGCTGAGCATGAGACAGTGATGTTGTCTAAAGAATGTAGTGCTGTGCTACAAAAGAAATTATCACCCAGATTGAAATATCCAAAAGGGGTTTTACTATACCTTATACAATTGGCAAATATTCTTTTGAAAAAACTTTGATTGATTTAGGAGCTAGCATTAATTTGATGCCATTTACTATATTCAAACAACTTGGTTGGGGATAAATGAAATCAACTTTTGTTTCTTTGTAGCTTGTTGATCGTTCAATTACCTATTGAAAAAGGATCATGTCAAGGTTGATCAAGTTATATTACTGGCAGATTTTCTGGTACTTAGCATGGAGGAGGATAGAGAAATTCCTATCATTCTTAGCTGCCCATTCATGGCAACTGCTGGAACTTTAATTGATATTAAACAAGGTCATCTCACTTTGAGGGAACGAGGCAAAGAAGTGGTCTTCAAGGTCTTTGAAGCAATGAAACAATCAAATGATTTGAAGAATGTTTTCTAGTTGATGTTTTGGAGGATGTTGTACATCATAAGTTTATGGAACTACATTTTGAAGATCCATTGAAAGTATGCTTAGCTCGTCCAAAATTGAGTACTAATATGAACAAAGACATTGTTGTCATTTCTTCCATGCCTAATTTAGCCATTCCACATAATCAGCAATAAAAGATTACTGTGAGGAGCTAAAATCATCCACAATAAGAATTAAGCCATTTATTGAGGGTGCACCAAAGAGAAAGTTAAAGTTATTGCTGACATACCTGAAATATACGTTTCTTGGTAATGCCGAAACTCTACTTGTTATCATTGATGTCAATCTCAATGAGTTGGAGGAATGAACTTTTGATGAAAAATGTATATTTCCATTTGAAGTTGTAGTGGGAAAGTAGCAGGTGCTACTTGTTTTGTTGGGTTTGCTTCCAAATTAAGGTTGTTGATGTTGGGAAACTTCTAATGTGTACTTTTTCAAAAAGTTTTCATTTCCATATTTGTTCTTTCATTAGCCTATCACCCTTAACCCCATTATAACTCGACAAAAGGCCTCTTGATCCAAAGAATTACTTGAATTTGATAGCGAGTTAGGTGGACAAGCAAGCATATATGTTTTAATGAGATCATTTAAGTGAAACACATTAACCCAGAAATATGTGTGAAAGAGTATGCTGGTGAGAAGGTCATTTGTTTGCATATGATGACGTTAAAGAAGTTTGGAATTCCATTGCCATGACTATTACACCTCAAGGATGATTGAAAGGTATTTGCTAACACTTGGAATATGGTAGATTTACTTGCTTTGTGCTTACGAAAATTCTTGATTGTTATTAACTCTTGATTGAGATTCTTTGAGGTCCACATAAGAGGAATGTAACATTTTCCATGCTATTACTTTTTCATGTTTTTTTTTTTATTTTGCTTGATGACTAGCAAAATGTAAGTTTGAGGGTATTTGATGAGTGCAAATTGTACTATTTGTTTTGTCCCAACTAATACATTTTCTGGTGATATATTGCAACTAAATGAATAAAATTACATGTTTTGTGAGATGAAAAAGTTCCTACTAGTTTCTTCAATTTCTAGTCAAATGAGATGGTTGGAGTTTTGTTTGAATAAAAAAGGATGCCTTTGACCAATGGTTTGAACAAGTAGGTTTATGTGTCATTGAATTCAATATTTTATATTTCCAATATTTAACTTATATGAAGAATGACAAAGAAAGGATTTGCAGGTGACTGGTTGTAGCCCTTTATCTTTTCATTTGCACGGAAAAGAGAAAGAGAGCTTTGCTTTCTCTTTTAATTTGTACGAGCAGCACGCTGACAAACCCAGTTTGAAAAGAAATTGAGCTAAAAGGATTTAGAAAGATAGGCACCCAAATTTCCGTCTTGATCTATAGTTCGTGGGTTCTTAGCAAGAGCATGAATTTGGATTATTGGTGCATTGCTTATTGGTGTCAATTGATTTGGGGATTTAGCCAATTCCTAATCTCTTGGAAGTTGAATTGAGCAATAAATTTTGATTAAATGGAGAGTCCAAAGAATCCAAAGAACCAACAACATACTTTTACTGTAGCTTGTAAACCTAAGAGATAAGATCAATAATAAATGGGTTTTAAGGTTAAGTTATTCGTTAGTTACAGAGAAGGAAAGAAAGAAGGAGAGGGCAAAGAAACATAAAAGGAACCAATAGTGAGGTTGATCATTATTGATCATTGAAGAAAGGAAATAAAGGGGAAAAGCAACCTGATCACCATTCAAGAAGGAAGGAAAGCAATAAGACTACAACAAGCTTGGTGTGGCAGAGCAAGGGGATTTTTAGGCTTTTTCTAAACTAGTTTTTCTTCTCAATTTTTATGGATTAAGTACTAATTTCGATTATGGCTTGGAACTAATTTCTTTTCGCTAGGGCTACGATGTAGCCTAACTATGAGTTCTTAATTTCTTAGTTTAATTGTTCATGAATTTTCATTCACTTTGAGTATCATTTTGCTGTGCTTATGAACTTGATTTTAATCTTGGCGATTGGCCACCACTTTGGTTTGATTAAGTGTATTTAATGCAAATTATCACAGATGCCATGTTGTTAATTCGGTTTTAGCGTTCTGCAAATGGTACAATGAATTCCTTGATGTAGATGCCATACACTAGGTTTTATATGGTCCTTTAGTTAGTTCCCAAATTGTTAATGAATTTGTATGTGTTTAGTAATCTAGATGCCATTGATTGTTAGCACATATGAGTATGCGTAAATCTAGATGCCATAGATCCTATATGAATTAGGAGAATTAGACCGTCAAATTGGATGATTACTCACTAATAATTAACTGTTGGAATTAAATTGGATTGGTTATGGTGAATCGGATGCTCTAGTGTTTTTGCAATTGAGTTATAAGTTGTTTTTTTTGTTGTTCTCCTCACTTATTAAAGCTCATTTCATTTTTACTTACAATTACAATTTTATAGTTCTTTCTCAAAGTAGGTGGTGGTCATCCCATGGCGAGAAAAACATATGAGAGAACCCCAATCAGGTATTTATAACCCTTGTTGCACCCCATAGGTTTTTCTAGCAATGGGATGACCACCACCTAATCACGAGTTGCAACTTGCGATGATCACCACCCTCGTCTTCGCCATCAAGAACCACGGTCCAGACTCCATTCGTCCACCATTATCCTCCAAACCCTTATGTAATTTATGAATTAGGGTTTAGTTTCCTCAATTTCGTAGTTGGTCAAATTTGGGTTTTAGTGATTTTGGATTTGGTAAATTAAATTAGCGATTTTGGTTTGGTAACTTGGTTTGCTAAATTTTCCCTTATATCAGTTGTATGATTTCATTGTTGTCTAAAGTTCCCCTGCATTTGGGGCCCTAGTTCGTGCTCTGTTTATTGTCCTTTTTTGATACGTCAAAGCCTACACATATCAAGTTTACAGACAATGAATGGGAATCAGAATCATTTTGATTCTTGAGTTCCATTGTCTATTAAAATATAGGTACGTAAATCATCTCACTTCTAAACTTTCCCTTGTGTTTACTTACACGCAAGGACTGGAAAAAGTGTTAGCTTCTCTTGCAAATCTGTAATCAAATACCTAAAACTCATGAATTAAATCAACTACAAGGGCTAATTGATCCAATTCTCTTCCCTTACTCTCTCTATTTCTAAGTTCTCCCATTCCTTACTTTCTCTATATCTTTCTCCGGGTTGTTGTTATCCATTTATTTAAAAATTTGCATCTTGGTTACACTTTTCCAGAAGTGATTTTTATACCACCCAACGTGTATTATCAGCTTAACGGACTATGCAGACGTTATCCATACCTTGATGGGCTTAAGAGCCTCTATTTCACGGAGCGCTCAAAAAAGTCCACAATTAACAGGCCCTGAGGTGCATCTCGCCGCCATACGACCTTTAACATGAACGACCTTGATATATTGTCGGCTTATACATTATTTTTTATTAAAGTACCCTACACGGACACCCATGACTCATCAAATAGGACAAGCATGAAATAGCGTTACGCCGTTACCCCCCAAAAACATTGTTGTTTGTTCTTCTAGTCTTTTGGCGCTTGAGTGTCTGCCGCAATTAACAATCGACAAAAATAGGTTTGTCGACTTCACGCGCTGTTTGTTATGCATCTCCAGTGGAAGCCCAGCGCTCCACTGCAAACCCCGCGCGTCGCGGAAGAGATTAAAGTGCATTCTCGTCGGCTGTCCGAATCGAAACCCCTAAAACACTGTCGTTTTCGTTTCACAGCTGAACTTCTCCACCCTCTCTCTCTCTCTGTCCCTCCTTCCTTGTTTGCAACGACGGCAGAAGCAGGAATCCAAAGAAAAGCACTTTTCCTTTCTTCTCTCTCTTCCCATTTCTCTTTCTCTCTCAAGATTTTTACTTGCTTATTTTATAGAGTGTTAGATCATCTCAACTGAGCAGGGTTTTCTGAGGTATCTATCCATCTATCTGTGTCCTCCTTTTTTGTTTTTTGCTGCCAAATTAATGCTGTTTTGAATATGATTTTGCCGTTTTTAGAGTTTGGATCTCATTGAACAAGTTGAATTGCCTTCTGTTTTACCTTTTTTTAGATCTAATTGTTTGTGTTGTGATGCTTACTCTGAACTTGGCCTTGGATATTCCCTTACTTTGATGAAGGGTGGAGTGTTTCGAATGCCGACAAGCCAAGGGTTTAGCTTTAGAGTTTAGCGTTCATAGTTTAGTATTAGGTGGATTACCAATTTCCAGAGAGGCCTATGAGGCTAGGAGGTTTTAGATTCACTAGGTTAAAGACCGAGTACTAGTCGAATATTCAAATGCCGGTTTACCAACCTAGAGAAAAGTGATTGAGGAATTTTAAAAACTTTTAAAGAGTGAAGTGATTGCTTTTTCCATCCCGGATTAGTGTCGGCTTTTTCGTTTCGGCCAGTTATTGTTAGAATTGAATACCTTAAAGTTGAAGTGAGAGCCTTATGGCTGTGTTTTAGGGTTTAGGATTAAGCGTTGGGTGGTTTAAAAATCACTGCTAGAAAAGTGTAACCAAGATGCAAAATTTTAAAATGAATGAACAACAACAACAACAACACGGAGAAAGATATAGAGAAAGTAAGGAATGGGAGAACTTGGGGATAGAGAAAGTAAGGAAAGGGAATTGGAACCCCCCCCAACAGTTGATTTGATTCCTGACTTTTAGATATTTGATTACGGATTTTAAAGTGGTAGCTAACACTTTTCCGATTCCTTGCGTGTAAGTAAACACAAGGGAAAGTTTATAAGTGAAATGATTTACATACCTGTATTTTAGTAGACACGGGGAACTCAAGAATCAAAATGATTCCAATTCCCATTCATTGTCTGTAAACATGCCCTTATATAGGAACTAGGTATTGGGATAGTATGGGTTTAGGGTGGGTGTGGAATCATATTCGTAGATGAAAAATGCATTGGTGGCATATGCTGCTGTTTATTTATAGTTCTTCGTATAGCTTTATGATTACTCATGAAGATAATTGTTCTGACCCAGTTTGAATTTGAATTGAGAGGAAATGGAGGGAGTAATTTTGGTAGCACTTGTAACCTGCTATGTTTTTGTTGGCAAGAACAAAATTGACCTGGGAGCACTTGTAACCTGCTATCTTTTTGTTAAAATCATAGTAGTCATCGTAGGCAATGCGATCTAGGAACTAATAGGACAATTTTAGAAAGAAATTTGGTGGAATAAAAGAGAGAGGATAATGAAGCATGGGAGGTAGGTTCTTTTGTCTCACTACCATATGTTTCGTTTATAATGTTTTTTGATTGGGTAGTCTTGGATATTCTTATTTTAGTGAAATCCACTCCTAAATCTTTTTTTTTTTTGTGGGAATCAGAGTCAATTATTTTCAGTTTAAAGGATTTAAACATGTGGACCTTTTTGTACTAAATAAGGAATTAAGCATTGAGTGGTTACTTGCTGTTGCAGTATTTTCCTTTATGTTATTATGTTTACTGTTTCTTTTTCTTATAAATGCCAAGCTAATATGTTAAAAAATGGTTTATTGGTGTAGTTATTTGATTCAGCTAAGAGATGAAGAGGTGACCCGCCCTGCTTTGTATAACATTAAGTTGTAGTCTGAACATGGATAAAGTGTCTTCTGACTGTCCATACCCAGGATGTTTCTTTTGTGTCATGAAGGAAGGGAACCCAAGTAAGCGAAGAGCCAGCATCCTGAAGTTCTTTAGAGAGCTTCCTGCACAGGATGACGATGGCCAGGTTCTTCCTATCAGTGGCCTTTGGAACACTGCCATGGCACATCCGAATGACCCTGAATTCATCGAGCTTGGCATCTTTGAGTGTATGGCTGCATTGATATGGAAGGGTCTAAAGAACCGTCGCTGGCTTTCTCATGACCAGAATATATACATTCCTTATTATGCTGCTCATATTATTGGATCATACACCATGAACATGGAAGAATTTGCTGCAAGTGCTGTTCATGCTGGGGTAATCCCTCCCTTAGTTGAACTTTTGAGAGGAAGGTTAACATGGGTTGAACAGAGAGTAGCAGTTCGAGCTTTAGGGCACTTGGCAACCTATGCCAGCACTTTTCCTGCCGTAACAAGTCATGGCGAAATTCTTGAGCTTTCGATTCAACTAGCAATGAGCTCACTGGAAATAGTCTATTCTCATTTTTACCAGTATGTTGACAGAAGGTTAAGCTATCACTGCGATCTGCTCACCCGCGGTATGGGAGGTGTTGAAATGGAGTCCAGAAAGGCAGAAGAGTGGGCGAGTCAGTTGCAGTGTTGGTCCCTCCAGCTCATTAACTGCTTTGCCTTTAAACCAGAGTTTCTTCCTACCATATGCAAGCCTGAATTCTTAACGAAACTACCTGGCATGTGGGGTGGGCTTGTTAATGAAAACTCACCAGCTGGTATCGGTTTATTAAGGACAATTTGCCATCATAAGCTTGGTAGAGGACCAGTTGCTGGCTGTCCCAGTATCATCGAATCTTTGTGTAATATATCTCGGTCATCAGATGATTGGCAGTATATGACCATTGATTGCCTTCTGTGGTTGCTTCAAGACCCTAGTACCTGCCATAAGGTAATTGCATCATTAGTTTTTTTTCATCTTTTAGTTTTTGTATTGTATGCACATGTTACATGTCATATAACTGATTTTTGATTAATGAGATTTTCATTTAAACTGCACTGCATAAATTAACCATTTTTTTTTTTTTTTTTTGCTATTTTGAATGATATCTTAATTTGTGAATTATAACATAATTAGTGCTACTGAAATCATTAAATAGGTCGTTGATAAGGCTGTACCTGCACTTGTTGACCTTGCGGAGATTACAACTCTGGGTGATCACAAGAAACTAGGAGATTCAATTGTTAATGTTCTTGAGGAATGTGTCCAGTCCCAAGGGACAGGACGTAATTCTTTTAGTAACCGAACGAAAGAATTGATCGAGGAACTTTTGAATTCCAGACAGAGATTGAAATGGGAAAAGAATATGCCTAAAGAGGATCTCCATATTAAACAGGCTGCAGCACTAGTGGTCAAGCTTGAAGGAAATTCTCTGTTCTCATCAGGAAATATATCTGGAGCTGCATCAAAATACTCAGAAGCTCTGGCATTGTGTCCGATGAGATCCAAAAAGGAGAGAGTTGTTCTGTACAGTAACCGAGCTCAGTGTCATCTTCTGTTGCAACAGCCCTTGACAGCTATTAGTGATGCTACTCGTGCACTTTGTCTTCACAACCCACTGAACCGTCATGCCAAAAGTCTTTGGAGAAGAGCGCAGGCTTATGACATGCTTGGGTTTGCAAAAGAGAGTTTGCTAGATGCCATTCTGTTCATAAACGAGTGCTCTCAGTCAAATGATCCTGATCTCTCATTGAGGCAAAATAAAGTTCCAGACTATGCTGAACGACTGGTTAAAAAGCAGATGCGTGCAGCGTGGTTATTTAGAGAAGCAGCTATCAAACATGGGGGTGTCCATTGTGAGGGTGATGCTGGTGACATCTTTGGCCGAGAGACTGATGATTCTGAATGGGAGACTGCAAGTGAGAGTGATATAGGAAATGATGGAAGAGATGAAATGGGAAATGAAGAGGAGGAGGATGATGATGATGATGATGATGATAGTGAATGGAAGAATAATGATGAGAGGAAAGAGAAATATGATAAGTCTTCAATTAAAGGTACCATTTAATGTGTTCAGTCGTGGCATTTAAGATTTCATTCTTGGCACGTTTAAAGAATTTCAATGTTTTAGATGTTTTAGTGAAGTAATGGTGGAAAATAAGCAAAAAGCCGGAATTAATATTGCACCACCAAACACGTTTATGTTATCAGTTCCTTCATTTCCTCTGATCCTGCTTGCTTCACCCTTCCAGTGCCTGACCATCATTTTGTTGTAGCTTCCTCTGTCCGTAAAGTAGCTTTTTATAGCTAATGTGATTGAACCACCTAATATTGTTTAGTGTATGTATATTACCACTAAGCCCTCTTTTAAAACCAAGAAAAAAGCAAAGGTACTTGCACACATGCACACATATGTGTTATTCTCTCTCTTGTTCTCTCTCTTTCTGTTTACGTTGTCCTGTAAATTGCCCCCATCTACTTTTAGATCACGTGGGAACCACATAATATGTGAAAATGTAAAAAGTTGAGTGAACAAAAATTTAAAATATAGGAAGTGAAGAAGTGTTCGATTTTGAATTATGACCTCTAACTGGCTTTCAATTTTGTGGACGGGCTTTATTAATCTTAGAACTAGTTCTCTCATTTGTATTTTCAAAATAAGTTAGAATTTTGAACCTTGATGTTCAAGCTATAAGAATAATAAATTGATTAGCCTGATGTATACCATCTGATTTACTGATTGATTCAGTTTGCATACTCCTCCAAAAATCGGTGATGAATGTCAAAGTTAACTCTGACATAGATTTTTAATTTTCAACGATTTTTTTTTAACCAAATCTTTCTAAGACTAATAGATATTTGAAATTTTAATCTTTGATGTATATTCTGATAGAATTGTCTAGCATATTATGTATCATTAACTGCAAACAATTCCATTGTTATATTTTTCATATACTTTCCAGCCAACAAAGAGAACAAAACAAAGTTTCCCGGCTCAACCCCTGCTTGGTGGTGAGCTTCTCCATGAGTTGTTGCCAACCCTCATAACCAAAAATCATATTCTTGTGCAAGTAGTATATCCATCATATAGGGCTACCCATCGTCTTGTGTCTTGGAGATTTCTAATATCTAATCAACAAAAGCGGGCTCTCAGAGCTGTCATGTGCATGACCATAATCTGACTTATTCTTGTGTTCCCAGTAGAAGAAACTTTGTATTATAAACTTTTAAAGTGATTATCACTTGTGCAAATACCATGCTTATGTAGCAATGACATAGATTACGAATTGCTGCATCTATCACTTCTGACTTCATATTAGAGTAGGTTTAATGTAGATTACATTTATGTGTTTTGGCTGCCCGTTTGCAGTTTTCTCTGTACACTAGTAGTCGATTATTCAGGCAAGCTTAAACTTGTTATTTAGAATTTTGGCTCATATAAAGTTGTTTGACATTGATGAAATTTATGTTTGGCTGCCTGTTCACAGTTTTCTCTCGTTTTTGGTCCATTAATTAGCCAAGCTTAAACCTGTAACTTAGTATTTTATGGTGTTAAAGCGTTCACCTAGCAGTCATATGGTTCTACCAGTTGATGATGTTATTGAGGTTTTTCAACTTTGAAGCTTTGTTGCATCTTACCTTGATTCCTTGTCGTGTCTATCATTTATTTTCTTCAGTCAACCTTTTGTTTTTTTTATTTTAAGCTTTAGCTAAATGTACCAAGCTTTGCTAAACGTACCGATGTTCAAGCCCGAGCCAATCCTTGCATTTTAATGGGGAAATATGAGATCATTGAACATCTAAACATTCTACATTGGAACCTTGATTTGTTACAGACCTAAAGCATGGATACAATGTGCAGCTTGCGGAAGATGAGCCATGAATTTGGATGCGGTTACCACTATTCAGACTAGAGCATGATGCAACGACAAGGACACAATGGAACCTTGGATGAATCTTTGATCCGAGTGATTGCATTTTCAGCACCACCTAGCCTTCCAGAAGTTTCAACCGTAATTTTTCGTGAGGGATTTGTCTTGTAAGAATGTTGAAGGAAACATGTTTTGGCCAATTTGTGTCAAATATTTAAGCTTGTTTGTGTTTATTTTGTTGTTGCTCTCAATTTTTTGTGTAAAAGTGTAGAAAATATGATATTTTTGAGCCTAGAGAGGAGGTGAGATAAGAAACTGTGGAGGTTTGGGTAATTTAAGAGGATTGTGTATACACAACTTTTGGGGGGGTTTTGCTTTGACTTTTGAGTGGCAATTGTGATTTTATTGTGCTCTCTCCCTATCTAATCTCTACTATTGCACCACTTCAGACTTACTTGTCCTACCAACTATATAAAAGTGATATAACGTAATTCACTAAAAGTGTGGTCTCCCCAACATTATCCTTATAAAAACACTATACACTAGGATTGTTATATTAACTACAGTAAAGAAGGTATGAAACCATCCAAATTACAGTGAAACATAAAAGATGAATAAGATGAAGGTTAGCGCTAGCTTTGCATGTATGTTAATGGGCATTAGATAAACCTATGCCTTAGAAAACAGAAAAGCATAATTGTTTGTGATCAAATTAACATATGCCTTATGGGATTGATCAGACCAATTAATTGGATGCAACTATGTTTTGTATGTGACGCGTTTAACATCAGCTCTACGAGTATGTAGTACCAGAGTGTAAATTATTACACTCAGTTTGTTCATGTAGCCACTTTCTACATGACTTGTATGTCTACATATTTTGATGAGCATATGATATTACTTGTTGAGATATTGTGATTTATCATACACTAGAAAATATTTGATTTTTACAGTAATTGATTTTCATCCTATTATGTATTATGATTTCGCTACGAGCATATTATTTACAGCTATTTAGACATTATGGTTACCTCGTATAACGCTGAAATGACAGTTTTATGTTGATATTGGGTTGTCATACTATAGATATTATGATAGTTTGGAAACTATACATGTTTTACAGCGAGGGATTAATATTTTACGAAAAACAAAGGTTTCTTATTAAACCTTTATTTTTGTCCACGCACAACTCTCTGTTTTGGGCCTCTTTAGGTCTTACGTAGCTGATTTACTTGGCGAGCAAAGGTTCTTTGGCAGTTCTGACATCCACACCAATCAATACAGGAAGTTTAAATTCCTATATTTTCTTTTGTAGTATTATCCATCCTACCCAGGATTAGAATATTCATACTGTTTTTGCACTTCCATCTATACTTTGACATTACATTTATGTAATATTGGTACACCTGCAATCAATACTCTCACTAATAGTTTTATATCTTGTTTTAATTTATTCACATTTTTACCTAACATTTCTATAATATGGCTTTGTCACCTTCTAGGTGTCAACTAACATTCCTTTACACTGGCGTTCATTGGATATTCAATCGCGGTGTGCCATCCTTTTTTTTAGGTTAACTCTCGGTGTGTCATCTTGGAAGTCCATTATCAAAAACTCAAATTGTTTCTATTATTTTGACATATGAACTAAAAATTGTTAAAAAGAATTTGACAGAGTGTAATTTGAGCCTCTTCCAATTGCTTTGCTCACAAGAACTTTATGTTTTTCATCCCTTTTAAAATGTCTACTAAAGGCCACTTCAAACTACATTATTATGGCTAGTCTAGTGTGAGGCTTATCTTACTCCCCTATCCCTTAGTGTAGATAATATTGTTTGTTCAAAAAATGAAATGTCCACTATAGAGCTTTTATGTCTTATACATCAATAATGCTCTTACTATGATACATCCAAAGACAAGATTATTCTACAAAATAAAAATTTGGATTAAGTACCTAATACCCTTGAATATATTTTAGTGTTGTTTGTACCATACTTGACCAATCCCGAAACTACTGAGCATCGGTCAACGTCATATCTTGAAAGACCCACTGAGGGGTTCATGTTGAGGAACCCTTGCCGAAGCACAAGAGTTTCCCTCCAACCAGGAGACCAATCAAAGCTCGACACATGTCAATGTCAGAATAAAGCTTATAGCGTCCCACATCGACCACAAACAAAAGCTAAAGATTCTCCTCAGCTATAAAAGGAGACCATTCTCCTACAATGAATCCCTAATGTCATTATTGTACTTAAACTAGTCATTAGAACTCACTAATGATAATTATGCTTGAACCAATGTATTTGTGTAAACCCTTCACTATTAATGAGAACTCCTCTACTTTGTGGACGTAGCCCAACTTAGGGTGGGTGAACTACGTACATCTTGTGTTTGCTTCCCTATCTCTATCTCTTTACATATGTATCCTCACCAATAACTGAAGCAACCGAGCGAAGGTCACAAACTTGACACTTTACATTGTTCCAAAGTCTTCACTGATTTTGTGCATCAACATTTGATGCGTAAGTGGGAAAAGACACTTATTCCTACTCTTTTCAGCTTCGTCAAGCTGGTTTCCATTGTTTGCACACTCTCTTTTGACTAGGCATCCTTCTCTAATATGGGGAGCGAAGGAAGCCATAAAACACAGAACGACACTTACTTCATGCCCAGTGTGAGGCAGCGAAGGAAAGAACGAAAGAAGTTTGCTCTTCAAGCTAAAGGCGAAAAGCTGGAGGCTTAGAACAAAAAGATAGCAACGAAGAACGAGATCCTCCAGGAGTAGTATGAGAAGCACTTCGAGATGCTCCACAAGGCTAGGCATACTCAGTCACAAGAGCCCCTTGCCCTTGTGGACATAAACCATCACCTGGGTACCTCCCAACATGGAGGGTCACCGGTCTTCAATATGGATATTCCTAATGAAAAGCAAGTTACTCATCAATGTGTTGATCAACATGAGACTTCTCTCAACCCAGCTGCTTTGACCCAAAGCAGAAGAAGTGGAGGGAGGCACCTCCTTGCAGAGGGAAGAGAAAGATCGAAAGCTGTTTATCGCAACTGTCGAGACTTCCTAAGGCAACGTCGAGAGAACCCTATATATATAAGCTCAAAGATTAATGACCCAAGGGTCTCTGAAATACTCGGTCATCTAGCACGGCCCAGGCCAGCTACCAATCCAGGGAAAGAGCGACAAGTCCTAGAGGAACATAAGGGTATAGGGGACTCAGAGGTCTTCTAATAGACACACCTTTTAAGCTAGTACAATGAATCCAAGGAAAAACCACATGCCCTTGATCAAACTTTCCTACTTCTAATAGGTGATAGAAACTTACGAAGGAAAGCTCCAATAGTACATGACTCCACTCAGGACCCTCTTGTCCTACAACTCTTTGAGGAAGTAAACAAATTGAAGGCCGAACGTCAAGCCGAGATACCTGATTGGAATCAACCAAGGCCTAACCCTCTTACAAGGAGGATCCTTGACACACCCCTTTAAGCAAAAACAAAGCAGAAGCTCGGCTTACAACTATATATTGGAAGGGAGGATCCGATTGAACACCTTAACCTCTTTGAGTCAACCATGGCATACCAGATGCATACTAATGAATAATGATGTCTTATCTTCCCCTCCACTTTCTCTGGTGGAGCTCTGAATTGGTATTGCTACCTTCCACCTGAGATAATAGATTCCTTTGAGGAGCTGAGGAAACTGTTTGTTTCTTAACACATTTTCCAAACCAATGGCTTGCACTCTGCAGATAACTTGTACATTATTCGCCAAAAGCTAGATGAGTTACTACATGAGTGTGCCAGCTGCTTCAGCCATGAATATTCTCGTTGCATTGAGGTAGATGACAAGATTGCCCTCAAAGCCTTCACGGCGGGCCTACGTGAGTGTTTCTTCAAGTACATGATCAATGCCAACACTTAGAAAACTTACTTTGAGCTGATGGCACATGCTTACAACCATGTATCCGTCGAAGCAAAGACATATTAAGGGAAACCCCCTATGGCCATCCCCTATCAACAAGTGGGAAATGGGAGCCAAATCCAACCAAGTGAGAAAACCTTGACCTTCCAGACAGTAGTTGCATTTCCCCTTGCCTTACCTAGTGTGTCACCGGGACAATAGAAATATCAATCTTAGGGCAAGAGGAAGGATTTCCATCCCCAACATTCTCATTTTAATAAGAAGAGTAAGGGACACTATCGAGATAACCAAGGTTATCGCTATGATAACGCCCGCCCTTTAGCAACCAATGCAGTAGGCCAAACGCAAGTTAAGACAGACCCTACCCCAAGGTATGAGACATACATACCTTTGAATACCACATGCGCAGCCATTTACCCCAGTGTAGCTCACTTGATACCAAAGCCAAAGTTGAGGCAGCTAGATTATAAGTCCACAAAGAACATGGGCATGTTTTACTGTTACCATGAGTATAACGGCCATGACAGCGAGAAATGTATCACCTTCCATGACCATATCGAAGCTTTGGCACGCGAAGGGAAAATTGAACAATTCCTTCTTCACCTTCCAAGGGATAACTGTAACTAACGCCAGGTGAATGTGATATATTTTATCAGCGGTGGTACACCCTTTTCTAAATCTTCCAACAGGGCCATGAAAAACAGTGAACGAATTTTAAGGTCTGGCCACCAGGTGTTTCATGTGGAAGACATCAAGGGAGGCAATTATCAAAAGCCTAATTGGGATCCGATATGTTTCTACCCTGAGAAGGAAAGAGGCATCATCTACCCTTGCAACCGTTACATCATAAGAGAACAACTTAGTGCAACTTAGTGCACGATCATGCTACAACATTTCAGTCAAGCAACAATGCTTGCATGTGCCCAAAGAGACCTATATATATGGAAAGTCATAAAGACCAGCCCGGATGAAGCCAACTTAGCTCTTCGTGATGACAACAGTCAACCCGACAATCCACGAGATGACTCTTTCACCCAGTAAGCATAGCCTACTGAAGAATTCGAGAAAGTTTTTATCTTAAAAGACTATCCGGATCACATGGTGAAGATTGGCACCATCTTGTCACCACCCATTCGATTAGGATTGATCTCCTTTTTGCAAGAGAACGCCTAGATCTTCGCTTGGTCATACGAGGAGATCTCTCCCGACATCATCTGTCATTGCTTAAGCATTAATCCCAAGACTAAGCCGGTGAAACAAAAGCGAAGATCTTATGACACTGAACGATATGAGGCAATGAAGGCAAAAGTTGAAAAACTCAAAGACATAGGCTTCATCCGTGAAGTCAACTATCTAATGTGGGTAGCAAATGTTATCCTTGTTAAGAAAAATCTGACCAAGGAAAACCTCATACTTCAAAAGATTATGTGGAGAATGTGTGTCGACTACACTACCTCAACAAAGGATGCCCAAAAGATAGTTTTCCCCTCCCTCTCATTGATAGACTTA